TCATAATCCTAACCCCTAATGGACTTCATAATCCTAACCCCTAATGGACCTCATAATCCTGACCCCTAATGGACCTCATAATCCTAACCGCTAATGGACTTCATAATCCTAACCGCTAATGGACCTCATAATCCTAACCCCTAATGGACCTCATAATCCTAACCCCTAATGGACCAGCATGAATCCAGAAATGCATGTTTGGCCTCCTGACCCCAGAGCCAAAATACAGCTTGTGCTTTTTTACTAATTATTTGGGGCACTTTCTAAATATTTAATGAGGTGTGTATTATTTCACCACATCTAGTCAGCACTAATAGTAAAGTATACAATGGGACTTTGACTACCTTTGCTCTCCTTCACTACATTCTTGATATTCCACAAGAACCTGTCTGATCATCAAGGTTATCAGCAATGTTTAACTGAACTATTTTTTTCATTGGTTCTAAGGCAACCAGTATTGCCTTTTTTTAGTACTCCATGTTGTTTAGAACACGTACGTTTGTTAACTGCTAAAAATGCTTTTTCTTTACATGTCTGGATCACTGACATGTTTAAATCAGGCAGGTTTTCCATTCAATTTAAAATTGACAGTTCTGCTGAAATCAGTGGTGCGTAAGCTGTTGTAGGGATTGATGGGTGTGCATTCATGCTGCCTTAAGAAAAGAAGGCACAATTTGCATTTATATAACACCTTTCATGACTGAGCAAGTCCCAAAGCACTTCACTGTCACTGAAGTACTTTTGAGCTGTCATCACTGTTGTAGTGGAAGCAAACACAACAGTTAATTTTTGGACGTACAGCAGTGAAATTAATGACCAGATAGTCTGGGTACGAGCTGTTGACTGTAGGAGAAACAGTACCAGGAAAAGTCCCCCTCGTGCACTTCAAACAATGTCCTAGAATCTTTCATGTCCAATTGAGCTGGAAGATGAGGTCTTAGTTTATGGATTTAGCCAGAAACCGGCTCCTATAACAATGCAGTAGCCCTCAGCACAGTACCAAAGTGTCAAGCTGCATGTAACACTCTTCTGTCGGTGACAGAAAGCATGCTCTTCATTTGAGAAAGTATCATCACCCATTTGCAAAGGAAATCACAATCAGCTAGACTTCTTTTTAGGTGGTAAAATGAATCAAAAAGAAATAGCACAGTGATTAAAGTATTTTTCAACTGTTACCATCATTAGGCTTTTATTGTGAAAATTGGGTCTTAATGCAGGTCTGCAATTAAGATCAGCAGTTGGCCTTAGCTTTAAAAGAACGATTGCAAAATCTTTTCATTAACACACCTGGCTTTGTCTCATTGTGACTTTTAAATGAAGAACTTTTAGCGTGCAAAAAAATATTATGTTGTATCTTTGTCACAAAATTCAATATCTCAAATTGAGGTATTCAAGGATGAAAATAAAATGTTATTTTAGTCAAATCCCAGTACAATATGTAATTAGACTCAGTGTTGTTAAGCTGTAGCAGTGACAGGAATGGGTTTTATTGATCCTCTCTGGAAATCTCACTGACAATGAACAGTGCACAATACAAGTGTTTGGAATGTAACAAAAACAAAACTTGAACATGTGCTGTCCATTCTTATTCATTCTTTAAGCACTTAGCAGCTCGGAGTCTGTTTGACAAAATTGCATTGAGTTTAAAGTAAATAAAATGAATTGGATAGAGAATTTAACAGTAAATGTATATTCTCCCATAAAGGGCAACCCAAGTATAAGACAGATTCTACTTACGTCCCAGATTCTCATGAAATCCTATGATATGTGCCAGCACTGCAAGAGTGCATGTCCAACTTAAAAGAAAAAGAGATTTCTCATGTGGAATTATTCCTGACTTTGAACATTGACTTTTTCTATGTAACAACGAAACTTCAGTAAAAAATTAAAATCCTTCAAAATCAGATTGTACTATTCTCACAATTGCTGCCAGTATTATCTAGTTTGGTGATGTTATCTCGATACTTGAAACAATAAGCAGTTTTTAGAAGTATTTAATTGATTGTTTCCTTACTTCTGAACTTAGAATCATAGAATCCCTACAGTGTGGAAACAGGCCCCTCAGCCCAACAAGTACACACTGACCCTTGGAGCATCCCGCTCAGACCCATTCCCCTATAACCCACCTAATCTACACATCCCTGAACACTATGGGCAATTTAGCATGGCCAATCCACCTAACCTGCACATCTTTGGACTGTGGGAGGAAACCGGAGCACCCGGAGGAAACCCACGCAGACACGGGGAGAATTTGCAAATTCCACACAGACAGTCGCCTGAGGGTGGAATCGAACTCAGGTCCCTGGCATTGTGAGGCAGCAGTGCTAACCACTGAGCCACCGTGCCACCCAAACAAGCAAAGGACATCGTGAGATCCCTGACTGTGAACTCACGATGTCCTAACGTACTTTCTTCTATTAATATTGTTAATTTTGGGGTTCACAGACAAAGTTACCTAATCTAGGCAGGTTATGATTTGGAGCAATTTTCAGAGAGTTTATTGAATTTATAAAACAACAGTTTATACATGATACATTAGTCAATTAAAGAAAGTGTACCACCGTGACAATTGGAAATGGTTCACCGAGACCAGAGGACAAACTGGCAATTGGAGCAAAATGTGTTGCCCTAATTAAAGTTGTGGGGGCAGCATCTCGCTCTCTAGGTGAAATGCAAGGGAAGTCTTCCCTGGATCTTATTCCTCTTCTTCTGATTCATCTTCAATCTGGAGAAGACAGC